ATAAACTTGAGACAGTTAGCATCTTGATTAGAGCTATACTTGAGACACTTATAAATCTCCAAAAAAACTTTCAATAAAGGCAAATCAAACTGACTGAAAATTAGAAATGACCCCTTGTGTATTTGTCACCAAATTTGCAGGTCTATTTTTTATAAGTAAAAAACATTTGGCTTAGCATCATACTTCACAAAAATGCAGCTTTTCTAACCACCTGCTGCTTAAATATGTTTATTGAACTTATTATAACACAAGTAAAAGATTCAGTTTTATTGCCAGTATCCGAGTTTAGTGTGGCAAGGATCAAAACGGGAATATTAACAAAGTTCTGGACACTTGGATAGTGATATCTACTTTCTTTTCTACTTCCTTCCTCAAAATAGACACAGCATCTCTTTTATGCCTTTAGTTTGCCATCTGTTTCAAACAGAGGTACAACAAAAGACTCTCTTTCAGTCTCATTAGATTTTCTTGTCACCTCCGGCTTTTTGGTGTGCAATGAAACTGTTTAGCACTGCTAACTTCTTGTTTGTACTTTTTCTTCAAGATGGTGTGGCTGTAAAAGCTGATCTGTATGATTAATACCATCCACGTTGTGGTTGTAGTCACAAATTTCCACTGGTTGTCAATTATTTTTGCTGTTCACCTTCTGGTGACTCTCGTTGTGCTGTTATGATTTCAAGGCTATTAACTAAGACAATGGAAAAATGAGGTTTCCCCAGTATCCAGGCATTCTGCTTTCAGCTCCTCTAGAAGGCATTTTCTGTTTGGATGAATAACTCTATGTGCTAAAGTACTGTGTTCATGCATGTACCTGAACAAAGGCAAACTTTTGTAGTAGTTGTCAATGTGCAGGTTGTTCAGAAGTGTTGTAACAAGGCTAACAGCTACTGCCTCTGGTAACAAAAACACCGATTGCCAATGAGTAGATTGTGGTTTTTTACCATTGTAGTTACAAAATATGTATGTATAACCATTGTTTTCACATGACATGAAAACATCTACTCCATGCTTGGGATATTTTGTTTGAAAAGAAGTGAACCCTTCCATTTCACAATTGATTCATCAGTGGAAATATGGCGTGCATACTTCTTGTAATTCTCAAATAGATATTTCATGAATGGCCTTAACATGTACAGCTTGTCAGCAGGAATATCATTGATGTTAAGTAAGTTGTTGTTGTTATAGATGTTATTTAAGAATCGGGATGTATCTATACCTGGTCATGACTGCTTTAAACACTTGTGACATAGAGGGGAGCTGAAGACTAGTTTGGATTATTCTCATCAAAAATGTGGACCAAGAAATTGTCTCATATCTTGTTTGTTGTCTTACGCTTGCAAACTTTTCCAGTAAGATGGGTTTGATAGACTGTTCAGCATATCTATTCGTTTCAATTACCAGGTGTATTTAAAAGGTCATTATTGACTTACAAACTGAAAATATCATATGGCTTGAACATGCATGTATCAACATGAATACTGGTACTGTTGTGGATGGACTTGAGTAGGCAGCTTGTTATTAGATCTTATTAAGGAAAATTGTTCTTGTTTTTTTTATTCACCTGAATTTTCCTATTCAGATTAGTGAAATCTGTTATGGACCTCATTTTCACGAAAGTTGATATTGACACCCTTTTTGCAGTATTCTTTGTTTGAATCAGACTTCAAACCTTCATCTTCATTCCCAGAATCATTCCTTATTTGATCAGTAATATGGGCAATCTCAAAATGCCTCATAAATATACTTTGCTTTTTCTAAATTGTAGTTTTACATATTTTCCAGTATGATGGAAATGACCGAGGATATAAAAATCAAGAAAACTGATTAACAACCAAAGAATTCTAGAAACTAGTTACTGACCTTCTAAATATTTCTGTGTCTTATCAATTTGCAATTTATCACTTGTATTCAGAACACATATGGTTTCATTATAGCTTTTATGAATTGGACATATTCAGTATGTCATTGTAGAAAATGTGTTAAAGTTGGGTAAAAATGCTCATAATGAAGAGTTATTAGCCTTTCTGTTACCAAGATATCAAACACATGTATATGACCAAATTGTAGACTTGTGCCCAACTTATTTTATTATGCATAGAACTATTACAAAGGGTAAGTAAAGTGAATTGTAATTGTTGTAAGTGATAGTGGAACTTTTTAATGGTGTATTAATACACCTATGCTCTGAAACAGTAATAAATGTGGAAGCATAATGTATCCATGTTAGTGATCAAAGAATTAAAATGGACAATTATAGCATAGCTTTCATCTCCATGAAATGCTTAAATGTTATGTGATAAAACAGTTATTAGGGTAAAGAACTTGTAAATTTTTTACTTTTAACATAAAAGTTACTACAATCAGTCAAACGTTTACCTGGCAGTCTAATGTCATTCTCGTAACCTGTTATTATGATGCAGTGGTGGACTGGAACAAGTTGAATAAACTTACTGTAAAGATAAGAAACATAACTAAACTTAAGAGTCTTCGTACAATTGACTGCTGCCAACAAATGTCCAGATGACAACTGATTACTGATTTCTTGTCATTGACTTAAATAATTTAAGTTTTATGGGTGTAACATGTGTAGTTCAAGAGCTTTATGCATGTGTACTTATTTACTCATTTCAGGAGTGCTGCTATGACTCAGTGTAATTTTGTCTTTTAAGTACTTTGTCTAGACTACTGGGGTGTCTGCAAGAAATCACATAGAGCTTTCTTAACCCTTTATCTTCAATAATTGTTTATGTGTAGTTCACTTAATGTAAGTGGTGTCTTATATTACATGCCAACCTTGCATTCACCACTTCCTGAGCACTGACACTTACAAAGCAGACTTTGTGGAAATACTATGCATCAAGGACATAGCTTAAGTATAAACTGATGGTCATATTCTTACTATATTGGCTTCAGATTTGTTTAAACAGTGTTCCAAATGTCCTAAATACAGTAATAACACACATAATTCAGATTTGTTTAAATGGTGTTCTAACTGTACTAAACACATTATAAAACAGTATGTCTGCCGTTTTCTTTTTAAGAATTAAGTATTTTGTGAGCATTTCTGTAATATATGGTAGTACATCAGCAAAATCTATTTTCAAATTTTACAGACAACTGTTTTTGTGTTTTGTAGCTTAATTTTTGACAGATCTGTGATGTGAATTTGAAATCATTACTTGCATTTTTTTTTTTATTATTATTATTATAAACAACTGTCCAATGTTTGTAATAACTTGACCATTAATGGAAATAACTTAAATTTTAGTTGAACAAGATTTAGCATGAAACTTATTCACAAAAGGTCTAGAATCAAAGTAAATATATTTTTGTCATTATAGATATGAAACTATATCCCAGTTATTATTCATTGTATGGTGTTTGAGCATTTTAGCAATTGTAAAGATTCTGTACAATTGCCATTTCTTTAGTTAAATCAATCATTTAAATTTTTTTCCCTGATCAATTCAAAATCAATATTTAAAATGCTTTGAAAGATATAAAAGAAACATTTTCAGGTTATATTTTTCATGATAACACATGTTTTTTATTGTTTATATGAATGTTATTGCTTCTTTACTTCATACTTTTGTACCTATTCGATAATGTGTAGTTTTTATAATGAACTTTAAAGAATGTGCATAAAGATCTGAATTACTGACAAGTACCATTAAGATTTTTCTTCTTTCTTTCTACATCAGGCTACAGTTCTTGAAGAAATGCCACCTTTTCCAGAGCGTGAGTCCTCCATTTTGGCAATCTTGAAGAAAAAAAAGCCAGGTATGACTGAAGGAGTAATGGGACCCCAAAAAGAAATGAAACATCCAGCTGCAGTGATAAATAACTCGGGAATCTTTCATACAGAAAATTCAGAGGTAGAGTATGGTAGAAAGAAATTTGATCTAGCGCAGATAGCCCTCGTGTAGCTTTGCGCGAAATTCTAAAAAACAAACAAAGAAAACATTCATCACCCATTTCTTCAGCAATTCTTTTAAATATGTAATTTTGAGTTCAAGTATTTGTCATTTTTCACATTGAAACTGTCCAGGTTGATAAAAAAAATTAATCTGGTTACAAATTAAGAAGTGTTCTAATGTATCATTAGTTTTATGGACTCGTCACATCTATCATTGACAATGGTAACAACAAACACTATTTAAAAGTATTTGGAAACACTGTATATACACCATTTTAAAGCTCAAAACACTCTTACTTAATTACATATTACCAAAAATAACATAACGGTTTAGAGCTGTGCAATTAGTGGAATTTGGTAATTAATCAGTAGGCTGATTAATTGATTACATTCAGCTAATCTATTATTTTCACATAAGGCTTGCATAGCTATAATAATTGATAATGTTAATAATAATCTCCTCAATTATTTTATTATTTTTGTAATTCATGACTAATTTATTAAGCTTAACAACCTTGGATTAATTGAAAATAATGAGATATCGTAATGGTAATATTTTGATTACTTGGATAGTTTTAATAATTGTTTACCATAATTTCGATTAGTTGATTTTTTACATGACATTAATAAGTTTAGTTATGATTTTGATTAATCGATTATTTTACATGACAATGATTGAAACTTATAGATAACTGATTTAATTGCCCAGCTTTAACTTGAATCAGCTATTTCTCCACAATAACTAAAATGATGAAAACATTCCTATTTTATTTGTAAAACAATTTTGATCATGGTAATGTTGAAAAGACTTGTGGTTTAACATCTTTGCTGTTGTCATATTACAAAAAATTGTAATACCTCAAACATATTTTCTGTTATTTCACAATAACTAAGAATCAAGAATATTGTAATATGATATTTTAAGTGACAAGCAATAATATAGTCATTTTTCTAATCAGAACTATTTAAAAATAATTGTGCTAAAACATTAGTTAAGAAATATTTTCATGTTTTTAAAATTGCCAAGAGGGAGAACAATTTCTGTTAACATGGTAGCACATGTGTTCTGTATTGTGTATTTCAGGCATTGCAGGCTCCAGCATGTCATGAAAACATGGTCAAAGTTGCTGCTTATATTTTAGGCGAGTTTGGAAACCTGATTGCAGGAGACCAGCGTTCTAGGTATGTATTACTTTAGTTAGTCTAGAAGATAGTGTATTGATTGTACAAGACCAGCGGTCTAGATGTTGTGGAATTATGTTAGTTAGAACAAATGGAGTTTATTCCCTGGACAGGACATTGAGCTCTAAATTTAGTATCTGTCATGAATAAAATAAAGACATGGAGTTAATTGATTGTACCAGTGTTCTTAGTGTTAAACTGGTCTAGTAGATGGAAAGAATAGAATTTATCGATTAAACAAAATTAGTTCAATAACACAGAAAGAAAGGAGTTTGTTAATTGGACAAGACCAGTAATTAAAATCATGTTTTACTATAATAGGTTGTGAACTTGCAGTTTGTTTTAACAAGACTAATGGCTTTGTTTTTAAGTTAATATAATAGGTAAAGAAAATATAGATTGCTAATTGGACAAGGCCAGCAATCCAGGTATTTCTGTTAGTATAACAGGTAGAAGGAATGGAGTTTACTGATTAGTCAAGATCAGAATTTTGTTTTGTATTTAGCTAATTTAGTAGATAAAAAAGTGGAGTCTATCGATCGGACAAAAGTAGCATTCAAGGTATTGTGTTAGTTTTGTAGGTAAAGAGAATGGCACTCGTTTAATGGACAAGACCAGTGATCCTGGCATTTTGTTTTATGTAGAATGAATGAAGTTCATTGATTGAACTCTACAGCTTGTAAAATGATAGAACCCTCATGGAATGCACCCACCTTACAATCTTGATTATAAAACTCACAACTTATTTCTAACACAAACAAAAGTATCTTTCCTCAGTGAAGTTAATTTATCAAGTTAAATCATCTCATGGACTTTAAAAAGGTCAATTGTGTTGCACTTGTGGTTTTACTCAGACCCAAAGCTCTGAGCTACTAATACTGGCCACCGTGAAAAGTAATTGTTAAGCATTTCAAAGCCACTCAACAATAACACATGGTAAATCTACATTTTTGTTCTTTAAGTTATTTGTTTATTTGACCAGAGATCAAGGTGTTATGTTTGTATATCAGGTGTACAGTTGGTTGTTTGTACAAAACCACTAATTAAGTTTAGTTTGCTATGATTACTAAGAAATAAGAAAGACCTACAGAAGTTTATGGTTTAAAACAATTTTACTGTACTCCATTATGTATCTTAATACCCTTAAATTTATATCTTCTATTTCTCCATAAAAATGAATAAGAAAAATATTGCATTTAATAAGTTAAGAAACCATGTACTTTGATTATTTGGATGCTAAGCAGGTCTTCACCAGATTTTGTATTGTATTTGACCATTTTAGAATGAATAACAGACTGGATTTGTTTTGTTATTTGAAGTTTAAAATTTTTCTTAAAATATATACTCCTTGACTGGAGACAAATAATATGCTTTTTTTAAAAAAAACTAATGTGAAACTATAAAATTGATGTGGTGTAGTGCCAGTTATTTTTCTACTACTGTGGAAATCAAACTGAATTTGGCATGTGAAAAAAAATTTGCAAGTTTGGACTCAGAGGTAAATGTGAAGCAAAATCATTAGAAAAGAGAATTAAATCCTCGTAAAAGAAACATCACCTGACCAAATATGTGTGTATTTTTAGTCCCTTTGTTCAGTTCAACTTGCTACATTCCAAGTACCACTTGTGTGCGGCACAAACCAGGGCTCTGTTACTTACCACTTATGTGAAGTTCATCAATCTGTTTCCAGAAATTAGAGCAGATATTCAAAATGTAAGTTATACTCATTGTCTGTTTTTTGCTTATTACATAATTAAAATTAATGTAACTATAAGAAGTTATTACAAACAGACAGAAAACCTGTGGAAGTTTTGGATTGGTACTTTGTATGGCTTAAAAGAATAAAACGTCTCACCTTACAATTTGTACACATGTATCACAGTCATTAGTTTAATGTGTGTTAACTGGACCAATTTTGTTACTTTTAATTACCCATTTTCTTCTATTTGTTTGTGATGACTTGATGTAGAAAACCCCACCTTTATTATTATTATTATTATTATTATACAGTTGAACAGTGGTTAAACATAGTAAAAATTGGTATTCTTCATATGTGTTTTTGGTAACACCTGTTTCATGAAATTCTTCAACATTTTTGTTTTAGCTTGTGCATCCTATCTTTTTGAAAGAAATTCTCATTTATCTTAGCAGAAACATAATGTTTGATTATATTTGTTTTATACTTCATATTTAGTACACTAATCACATTTTGACCATAATTTAATTAATATATTAGATGTTCTTTATAGTTTTTCATTACACTGCAAGATGTTTTATTATCCTGTAATCTGTTTTCATTTTTTATTCTTCCATAATCTTGTTTATTTTTCTTGTCTGGCATGTTTATTAAAGCTAGTTTTATGTTTAATTGTGGATTCAAAATATCTGAAATTGTGAAAAGAAAAAGAAAATTTAGTTTTGGTAATTTATATTATCAGCAAAATAAATGCTTTTTTGATTATTGCTTTGGTTGCTGTGAAGCACAAAGCTACACAATGGGCTGTCCGCACCACTGAGGAGTTGGATATACGAAAATTTAAGGGTTCAGACAATTGATGTCTGGTCTTAATACATAAGTTACTTAAGTGTTCTGAATAAAAGAAACTGAACTGATTCATTTGATAGATATTGAAAAGTGATAGTAATATCAGAAGTTCCGAAGTGGAGCTTCAACAAAGAAGTATGGAGTATCTACAGCTGAGTCAGATTGCAAGTACAGATGTGTTGGTGAGTAGGATCAAGACTACAGATTTTTTATACTGTCAGGGATATTTATTAATATCACTGTAGTGTTGAATTAAAAAAAAATCTTAGAAAAATAAATGCCTGAGTCTGTGTGTTACATTAATATATATTTTATTTCTTTACAAGTTTAACCTGTGTGCACTAGTCTTCAATATTTTGTAGGCTTATATACTTGCTTACATGCCTATCAAATTCTCCACAACAGAAACTAGAGATCTTTAAAGACAAAAATATCTAAATGATATATTTATTTTAAGACTTTTACATCATAAGCACGAAGTTTGAAGTCTAGTGTTTCACCAATGGTTGCAGCAATTTTTCTTCAACATCTTTTTGAAGGAGGATTATCCTGCATCAAACTAGAACTGATCATGTGAATATGGTATCTAATTTATTTTCCTCATAAAAGCATAAATTGGCATAGTGCATATCATTCGCACGTCGTTAATCAAAACATGAAAATACATATAATTCAGATTTGTTTAAACAGTGTCCCAAATTTACTAAATACAGTAATAATACACATAATTCAGATTTGTTAAAATGGTGTTCTAACTTGAAAATACATAATGAATTTTGAGAAAGTATGTTGTTAAAGTGTTTTAAATGTACTAAACACATTAATAATACACATAATTCAGATTTGTTTAAATGGTGTTCTAACTTGAAAATACATAATGAATTTTGAGAAAGTATGTTATTATCAATCCCACTATTCGTTGGTAAAAGAGTAGCCCAAGAGTTGGCGGTGGGTGGTGATGACTAGCTGCCTTCCCTCTAGTCTTACACTGCTAAATTAGGGACGGCCCACGGCTGAAAGGGCGAAAAGAAATAGTACTCCGCTTAATAGTTTATTTGAAATACAAGTAATATTTCATCCGCGATAAATTACCACAGTTTCAAATAGGTTTGTAAGTCATTGTTATTCACAGAAAAATAAATTACCATTTTGACGAAAGGGTGAAAATAGTTTACACTTATGATGTACTACTACTTCTGCACGAATAATTTTTTTAATTAAACCGAACTTTGGAAACATTGGGAAATCGCCCTCTTACGTTTTTAATTCTTATCTCGAGGAATTAGTTTGATAAGTTAAATTGCTTCTGACAAGTGTTAATAATATGTCGTAGATTAAGAAACTGACTGTAACATTAATAACAAGCAAAAAAAAATATTTTGTTCCTTATATTTCGTGACTTGCACTCGGTATCACAAAGGTAACTCAATAAAGGTGTACGTTTACCGGCTGTGTCGTTGAGCAGCCACTTTTTAAAAAAATCTGGTTTATACACAACCCCTGCTCCCTCTATCGGCTAAATTCATTTATCAAGTGGAGCGCTAATTGAGCGCATTCACAATTAAGAAGAAAAATGATTGATGATGTCACGGTGAAAAAGCTAAAGACTTGTCACGATCTCCAATAAGACTACTACAGTAGTTGTCTCCTCAAAAGTTTCAGTTTGATATCGTATACGGGCGGCGGAGCTAAATTAACTTGTTGTTACGTAAAATATCTAATTTTTGAAATTCTGCGATTTCATACCAATTTACGATTTCATTAAAGTCTGTATGTATGCCGGACCATGGTACACTAATTAGCCAGTGTTATAAAGAACAGCAAAAAACGCCCACGAAGATTAAAGTGTTTGATTTCACACCTGCTAAACCTAAGTCAATTCTATATATATATATCTAAAACGTGACTTTAATATAAGGCATATATATTTCTACACTAATATTGAATACTTGGATTCGAAATATAATTGTTTCTCTCTCCCTCTTTATCCGCGGCCCGGCATGGCCAGGTGGTTAGGGCGCTCGACTCACACTCTGAGGGTCACGGGTTCGAATCCCCATCACACCAAACATGCTCGCCCTTTCAGCCGTGGGGGCGTTATAATGTGACAGGGCGTTATAATGTGACGGTCAATCCCACTATTCGTTTGTAAAAGAGTAGCCCAAGAGTTGGCGGTGGGTGGGGATGACTAGCTGCCTTCCCTCTAGTCTTACACTAGCGCAGATAGCCCTCGTGTAGCTTTGCGCGAAATCCATAACAAACATACATACATAAATATATATGTTTATAGTTATAGCCCAACAATTACGTTAGTCTTAAGATCTATATATAAAATATATCATACCTATTTGATAGATCCACATCAACTGTTTGATAATTATCAGTACCATAAAACAGTAGAGACAGAAATCATATAACGATTCGTGTTTAACAAGAAAAAACAAACAAACTTTAAATTGTACGAGATGTAGAAAATATTAAAATTTTGGAAGGGGGATAACTACGGTAAATAGCACCCAAACAACACTGTGAACTCCCCGTCTCTCCGGTTATATACCAAATCGGGGGAAAAACAGAACTCCGATCAAACAAAATTAATTAAAGCAGTTAAGATAACGGGAAACGGTAAATGTGAAGCCTCTACGGTGAAACATGCTGGAGTACCAATATAATTGTGGGCTACATCTCAGCCAATGGTGGTGGAGATCTATAGAAAATTGATGGCACGCTGACTGCTTACAGGTACAAGTAGATTCTTATTCATCTTGTCATTCTCTCTGGAACAACCTATTGAACAGCGATTTATACAACAACAAGACAGTCGTTGTTGTGGTGCTAAATTTTATGGCGTCAGAGTTTGGCCAATATTTGTCAGGCATATGAAGTCACCATTAGGGTAAAGATATCATATTCAAAACTTAATTTCTGTTTTTATGAGTTCATTTTAAATGAAGAAAATACATGCAACACTAATTATTGGAGACTACTTACACTAGTAATAAATTGAATTCGCATATATTACCGAAATAAAACACGCAATTGAACTTTCTATCCAGAAGCAAGGGAAAACACAACTGACTACCACTATTCAGTAGCACAACCTCGCGACATTTACTGAAGGGTCACGTAAAGATGACGTCATCGCGTGTTTATTTTTTTTCCTACCTATAGTTTTTAGGGTACGTTCAAAAGTGAAATCTAATATTTTCAGAAGTACGAAAGATGACAATCATGTATGAGTTATTCTCAAATTATAAGAAAAATATAGGAAGCAGTTTTTTTTTTGCAGAGAGTTGGTGAAAGTTCAGAATCACTAACATTAAAACAAGTTTTAAAAATGCATATCTTATTAATTTAATAAATTGCTAATTACATTACAGTATTAAAAACGTTGACTTTTATAACGTTTCTCAAACTTCCAGTACTCCCAATACAAATAACTACAAAAATTGTGAGTTTCGTTGCATATTATGTACATAATAAGCTTTTAAAGATGTGTACATTTCAAGTAAACAATATGTTTTTATTTGGTTTTGATTGTTGTTACACGCACAGCTACACAGAAGGGTACCTGTGCTCTGCCCAACACGGCTATCGAAACCCGAATTTTATAATTGTAAGATGTGGCTTATGTATTTGAATACTATATTCATCTATCTTAATAGCCACGTGACGTATGAAAAACATTTCGTCATTTCAATGCTCTTGAACACGAATGATCGCATGATGTCTGACACCAGCTTCTGAGGGAGGTGACATCGTGTTGGGTAGTCTGAAAGCGTTCTACCAATGGACACGGGAAGATCACAAATAGGCAGTGTTCTCTTACTCTCTGAGAGTTTGGTTATGAAAGACAGTTTGGATGTAAATTTCTTTTTTCAAATATATATATTTAGTTTTGAATTATCAGGATCCAGCTGCAGTTTCAGGTGCAGCATTACATCCCGCAAGACAGTGATTTCAAGCATGTAGTGAATTGATTCCTAGAGGTAAAAACAAAAAATCTGCGGGCATTATGGGTTTATACGAAAATAAGAAATATCAAGCTGTAACCAAACAGACGATTTTTCACAATCGTGGATTATTAGGCTTATAGTAGCATGTAATATTTCAAGATGTACTTCTCTGTCTAAAGCTAATACGAATACCAATGCCTTGTACAAGTTATTCGCTTTTCTTTCTTGTTTTATATAATAACGTATTGTACTAGCGATAAATTAACCAATTAATTACAATTACTCCTGTATGTGTATCATCTATGCGTTTTCAAAGTTATCTTCAATACTTTAAAATACCTATACATACATGCGAATATATCTAGGTATTCAAACTACATCCACATGTATAAATAAATGCACTAAAACACCACTAAATACATTATTCCTTTGCTAACTTCACTGATATATATTTTTAAACGTGTCACAAAGCTAAATAGATTTACACGTTGAAAATTTTAAACGTGTCACAAAGCTAAATAGATTTACACGTTGAAAACTATATATCCCATACTTCATTATTCCCATACATACAAATACATTATTCCTTTGCTAACTTCACTGATATATATTTTTATATGTGTCACAAAGCTAAATAGATTTACACGTCGAAAACTATATATCCCATACTTCATTATTCCCATACATACAAATTTTCGTATTCACTGTATCGTTTTAAAGACGGAATGAAAATATGCAGTGTTCCACACAAAGAAATCAAAATATGCTTCTTGAAAGTCAAAATGAAGCCACGTCTTAATAAATATTGAGATTGTCGTGCATTGAATTTAAGCTTTTATAAATTCTTCGTCTAATAAGGACTCACCTTCAGATGAATAAAAATATCTGGCGACTAGCATTACACTAATATTATAGCTTAGTGAGTGCGTTTTTTTAACTGTAGTAAAATCCGCACATTAACGTTGAGAAAACACAATTCCGTTCTTGTCTCTTTCAACACTTCAAAAGTGAATTATACAGAGATAAAGAATCTACTTGCTGCTCTAATATTAACTTCATATAAAGACGAAGAACGTTCGTTGCCGAACAGTGTAATTTCTTGAACTACCGCATACAAAAGCTTTTTAATGCAACATACCCTTTCCTTTTTAAATTTAATTTTGGAGATTGATGTAACGAATTTGTTATTATATATTTATTTTAATATCGAAGTTTGTTCAGATTAAATTTATATTTAGAAACATACATAGCTTATAGTGTTAACTATGTTTACGAATCTCCCTCTATATCT